GAAATATATGAAAGTTTCATTTTTATCATTACATTATGGAAAATAATTACCTTTATCACAATATGCTATTTTTTTGAGAAGGACCTGTATGTAAATGTTTTTGTATGGTGCCAATTCACATAAAGTCATCTTTGTTTTGTACAAAAATATTCACATACACCAGTGTTTCCCCTACCGTTATCTAATGAGGGCGCCCTGCCTATTGAAGTGACCTTACCCACAAACCACATCCCCCCGTCAACAACTGCAAACACTGAAGTAGCGCTAAGCTAGTGGCGTGCAATAAAGACGTGCTAACTAAGAAGCTACGTGCTATTCCACCCCCCCACCCTCCCGACAAAAATCCCCGAAGGCATCCCCTGCAAAAGCAACTGAAGGGCAGCTGTGGCTGAGTGGTTAGAGCAGTCGTCCTCCAATGCAAAAGTTGGGGGTTCAGTTCCACCAGCAGTCACATGCTCAAGTGTCCCTGGGCAAGACACTGAACCTCTCATTGCCTCTGATGTGTGTCCCATTGGTGTATGAACGTGATCTAAAGCTCTGATTAGTCTCTTTAGAATGATTTGTACAATTAGCTTTCTAGAGATCTAATAGAGTGCTGTATGGATGGGTAAATGAGGACACAGATTGTAGTGTAAAGCACTTTGAGTATCTGGATAAGATAGAAAAGCACTAGATAAGTGCAGTCCATTTACCATTTACCATTTAACTAAGGGAAACACTGTACACTATAAAATACAAAATGGTAAAAGTTATCCAAGGAAGACTTTAGGTGATTTTGCAATATACAAAAAAAAAATCAATTATATCATCTCTTACACAAGAGGTTTTGCTACCAAAATTATTCTTAGACATTATTTAGATATGAAGAAGAGAGTCTGCATGCAGTGAAGAAGTACTTACCACTGAAATGCGTTGTAATGGAAGTAAACCATTCCAAGGCCATATAAAAAGGCAGCATTCTAGAGGGGAAAAAAGTAATGCAAAACTGGTAAATTCAACAACGTAGATATTCTTCAGGTCAGCAAATCAAAGTATTTACTGTTCACATGTAGCCATGTACATAAAAAAGCCAAAAACTGCAACTGGTTAATATTAAGGTTTTTACTCCCTTTGCATCTCAACATTACATACAAAACAGTGACATGAATACACCTATAGCTAAAGAACAAGGAAGGATAACAAATCTTGTAAAATTGATGCCTATTTTGCTTTAGATGCTGGTGTCCAGTCCACTTCAAACAATCTAGTGATAGTTAAGACAATATCATTGCTTTACTTGTGGAGAAGTGAAATACGAACCCACACTTGTCTTGTATTGTTCATTTTAAACAGGTAAATGTCAAACTAAAAGGGCTGTTCATCCCTATAAAGATAAGATGGACATAACCATAAATAGTTTTATGCAGTTCCTCTTTGTTTTACCTGCACCAACTTTAACCAAGAAAGTCCTGCATAAGATGCTACATTATATTAGAATTACAGTATGTCACAGCTAGAGTTGGGCATCGTTTGAATTTGAGCATTCCGGTTCCGATTCCCAACATTTCTAATTTTTTTTTTTTTTTTTGGCTTTGTTTTTTGGATGTCCAGAGGACCAGAATTAACGGTTTTAGGTAAGAAACGCATTTTTTTTTTTATATTTAAAGAGACTTTAGTCAACAACATGAATTCAAATGTGTAACATTATAAAACTTCAGGGTTTAATTTGGCTTTGTGATTGCTTTTGGCATCTTCTGTCACATCTGAACCAATGTTTTACTGAGAAGCGTTCGCCAACGAAAGCAGACACATACGACACATTAAGTGTAAAACTGAGAATATTGTTTATTTAAAGGCTAAAGAGAAAAACATTTCTGTAGGAGTTGAAGATTAATATCACAAAAACTGAACATGAGTCTTACTCAATCTAAGATTACAGAGACTCTTACAAATATGTTGCAATTTTCTGTTGATGTGTTCAAACCAAAAATATATCTTTTTTTTTTTAAACTTTATCTTGACATTAAAAAGACAAGGAGAAACATCTCGATACATTACATCCTCTACAGCATACAGCTATTTTGTCAGTGACAGCAAGTTCTGCATCAAATTTATTTTTAGAGCTTTTAAAATGCAACAAAATAACCCCATTTCACCCTTTTCTCTTACTAGCCCTACATTTTACATGCTCACACAAGGCAGAAGTGTGCCGCAATCTTTCATGTGTAGTAAAAAAGAAGGAACAGGGCTTTGTAGCCATTACAAAAAGATTTTTCAGAGACACACTTTGAAAGCAAGGGATACAAACTGGACATAAAACATAATTTCAGTATTCATATTTTTACTTTCATGCAGCCAATGATGAATGTGTGTGTACATTTCCATTAAAAACAGAAAAAACTAAGTTGGCTGAACATCCATCCATCCATTATCTTTTAGCCACTTCTTCCATTTTGGGTCACGGGGGTCGCCAGTGCCCATGTCCAGCAATCACTGTGTGAGGGGCGGGGGACACCCTGGACAGGTCTCCAGTCCATCATAGGGACACATAGAGACAAACGAGACAAACAACCATTCACTCTCTCACTCACACCTCACTCACACCTAGGGCCAATTTAGTTACCAATCAGCCCAACATGCATGTTTTTTTCATCTGTGGGAAGAAACCGGAGTACCCGGAGAAAACCACCGCATGCATGGAGAGAACATGCAAACTCCACCCAGAAAGGCCCCCAGACCTGGATTTGAACCAGGGACCTGCTCGCTGAGAGGCAGCAGCTCTACCAGTTGCGCCACCGTGCTGCATGTTGGCTGAACATAAAACTGACAATTGTAATAATGTTTTTTTTTTTTTATCCTACAAAATCAACCAATATATAAAACACTGATTTTGAAATTTGAGTCAACAGAATCATAAAAAAAACCTAATGGAAGTAGCCTTGACAAAAAGTAGGTTACCTTCAACTTAATATTTTGTTGTACAACCTGCTTAGGCAAAAACTGCAATCAAGTAATTTCTGTAACTCTCTGAGATTTCTGCACCTGCAGGATAACAGGTGTCCAATGAGGTGGTGAAATATAATTAATACTCTTTAAACTACAAGTTAAGAGTAAAGGTTTAACCATGCGATTTCTGGCAGTGGTCCCCAATAAATTTCACCAAGTTCGGTCTAAAGAAAGATTTCTCAAGCAAAGGCTCGGAGCATTGTCTTTTTAGACAGTAGTAACGCTAATTAGGGGTTGAACGAGTATATAATTTTTAAACTCGCTATTAACATAATAAAACCCGAGCAGAACTCAAGTATTTGATGACGTCATAGATCTCAAGAAACAAAAATAAATAAATAAATAAATAAAACCGCAAAAAAAAGGTAATTATTTACAAAAAAATACCAACAAAACATTGGGAGCGTAGATTATGCTCCTACCATTTATCATACTGCAA